AAACAAATAAATAAATAAATAAAGTTAAACCAAAAAATAAACAATTAAACTTAATTAAACACATAAATAAATAAATAAATAAATAAATAAATAAATAAATAAATAAATAAATAAAATTAAACAAATAAATAAATTATTAAATCAAAATAAAAACAAATAAATAAATAAATTAAATGAAACACAAATAAACGAACAAATAAATAAAATGTAATTAATTAATTTATTTCTGTTTAATTTAATTTAATGCTATTTATTTGTTTGTTTATTTATGTTTAATTTAATTTAATTAATTATTTACTTGTCCACTCAATTAATTAATTAATTCAATTACCATTTAAAAATATCCAAATGACCCTAGGCATTTTATTGATTGATGACAAAAACAGAGTAATTTAATTTAATTTTAATGTGTTATTATCTTCGACATATAGAAAGTAAAACAAGTAGAAAGTACATAAATAATAGCAATATAATATATTATAATGTATTCATACTAGTACTACTGTTACTACCACTACTACTTCTAATAATAATAATAATAATAATAATAATAACACAAAAATTACAATAATAATGACAATATTTATAATATTTGTTATTTATTTATTTTTATTTTTTATTTATTATTTATATTTAAATTGATTTATATTTATTTATTTGTATTTATTTATTTATAATTATTTATTTATTAATTTTTATATTATTTATTTATTTATCAATTTATTTAGTTAGCTAAATTTAGAATGTAATATTTTTCTTTATAATTATAATTCTATTTATAATTACCATTAACCAAATTATAATTATAATTACCAAAACTTCATTCCACTAAAGGTTCTTTATGCTGAATAAAAAAATAGTTCCACAAACAATAATGGTTCCTGTGCTGCAGTGCTACAGTGAAACCTCCACTTCTCAGACCTTTTTTTTAAATAAATTCCCAACAAGAAGTCAAACACATTATGACTTTTTTCATTACATTTATATACCAGCATCCAATTAGGTCTGAAAAGGTTGTGCCTTTTTATAGCTCATAAATAAATCTCCGAAAAGCCTTTTACAGTCGTCACCCGCTGAATTTGAGCACTTTTCTTGGTTTTATTTCATTTATTTGCAGCTTCTTTCATCATTGTGTGTTTCTCCAGCAGCTGACCTTGAGTGTTGTGAATGACTATAATATGATGAGCTTTTAGTCAGATTGGGTGAAGCTGCAGATGAATTGAGTTGGCCAGGCTTCTCCTACAGCTATAAAGTTGTGTAATTTATTCAGCCCCACGTCCCCTTTGTCCTTCTGCTGGGTTCGGGTGTTTATCTGTCATGCACACACTTGTTTCTGGAGCCTTAAACGCAAGTCTGAGATGTTCTTTCATTATTACACTTGAGAACGCAAGAATAGAAAGTTGAACATGAAGAGACGAACACTGATAATGAAGAATTATTTGAAGAGGATTAACAAAATGATGCTTCAATTCACCTGCAATAAGAGTCAACTCACTCACGCAAATTTGCAAATTGAACTTGTCAATTAAACACAAAGCACACACACACATTTTCCGTCAGTTTACTCTCTGATTTTTCAGAGGTTACAACAGCAAAATAAATTGCCAATTATTCCAAGTTTTATACAACGGATGCCCTTTCAGCCGCAACCCAGTGCTGGGAAACACCCACACACTTTCAAATTCATACACTACAGCCAATTTAGTTAATCCAATTCCCGTATAGTGATGTCTTTGGACTGTGGGGGAAACCAGAGCACCCGCAGAAAACCCATGTCAACACTGCGAGAACATGCAAACTCCACAAAGAAATG